CACACTGAACCCTGAGTTCCTTAGCGGAGCACAGACAACCTACTTCTACCAGCCCATAATTGACCAAGTCTTTACTGACTCATGTGCCAGCTTCACCTACATTCTTCTCTTATATGACTCCCTACTGTTGCCCCCAGGACTTACCATCCAACCTGCTATCCTCCAACACGTAAGGAGAAAAAACAAAATCAAAACTTCTGGGAAGGGATAATCTGTTCCCCCCACTTTCCTCAGCCAAATGAAAAAAGGGAATGAGAACACCTTCTGTTGTGAAATTCCCCCTAAAGTCTCCTCATACTGCCCTTTATTTAGTTTAGTTCTTGGGCTTCTTTGCCTTTCATCTTCAGCATTATGAGGGAAGTTTCTGGTTCAGAGTCTAAGAAAATTCTTGGAACCACTAGTGTTTCTGCAAGCATCAAAAGAAAAGTCCATTCTCTGGAACAAAATAGTGTTTAAAGAGTCCTTACTACCCTTTGTAGATCTTTATATATACAGCCTTCATGTTTCCAATAGGAAGAATCTTCATTTTTAATCTAGGGAAGTTCCTATATCTTTTGATCATTTTCTTTTCCCTTCTCTTCGACCCTCCACTTCCCTGTCATTCCTCTTCTTCTACCTCTGAGGATCCATACGGAAAATTCCTCCTAACAAGCCCCTTCATCCCATACATATCTCATGCAAATGCGGAGAGGAGAACATTAGTTCTTCAGATTCAATCAGATTCTGAATTTTAATTTGATTGCCCCAAGGATTCCTGCTACAATTAAATAAACCATCAAAGAGAGTGAATAACTCTCCAACTTAAAATAAGCTCCAATTTAATATCCTGATAGTATATTTGGGCTTCAGAGAAGAAAATCCTACACTATAATATACCTCACTATATTTTAAGTTAATTAGTTCATGTAGAAGGGCTGCTAAAAGGAAATGTCACCCTGGTTCTAAATGAAGACCAACTCAACTACTGAAATGTGAGGATTGTTACCCATAACCTGTGCAGCTGTAAACCACAGCAAATATTCCAGTTCATGCTGGAGAATATCTATGGGGAAGGTGACTCACTGCATATATTACAGATGGAGCTGGGCTATGATGTGAGACAGTTATGAAAATAACTTGCAAACTGAAATCAAATATAATATTATGGCTTTCCACAAGAAAAGCCTAACTACCAATTTTCTCCTCCTACTCTTGAAACATTCTTACTGGATTAGATTTTCAACTATATGCCTTATTTTCAGGCCCAATTAAACATTTAAACATTTTTCAGCTAAAACGAACAAAATGTTCATGGTAGTAGGTCTGTCATCATAGAAATAAAGTCCTAGAGAACTCACTATGGTTAAATCTAGCAGTGCAAATGACCGGACTACAGGGTGAGTTGTCAGTTCTTTAGAAGCAATCTGATCCACCAATGTGGATTATTTTACAAAAGCTGATGTAATCAGGAAGCTCTGCATTGATGTCCCGTAACAAAAGTCAAGTGGTTAAAACTGCTGACACTGCTACAAGTCCCTAATCATTTCTAGACTCAAGTATCAATTACTATAGTCTCACTCCTTCCATCCCCAAACAACCCAGACCTGGTGAGTGGTATGACTTTGCTTTTACATTCAAGTTTCAATAATTTATTTCTAAAACATAACATACAGTCTTCTAAACATTAAGAGAAAAAAACCATTTTGTTGTATCATTTACCTTTACATTTACAAAGGATTGGTATAAATCCATCATCCTTACTAGAAAAATAATTCAAAGTTTATTCTTTGCTAAAAATAGGTCAATATGGGAATAAAGACACAGACCTACTAAAGAATGGACTTGAGGATATGGGGAGGGGGGAGGGTAAGCTGTGACAAAGTGAGAGAGTGGCATGGACATATACATACTACCAAACGTAAAATAGATAGCTAGTGGGAAGCAGCCACATAACATAGGGAGATCAGCTCAGTGGTTTGTGACCACCTAGAGGGGTAGGATAGGGAGGGTGGGAGGGAGGGAGACGCAAGAGGGAAGAGATATGGGAACATATGTATATGTATAACTGATTCACTTTGTTATAAAGCAGAAACTAACACACCATTGTGGAGCAATTATACTCCAATAAAGATGTTTAAAAAAAATGGGTCAATAACGTCTTTCCTGGGAAAAAAATATAGCAATCCATTGTGGGATTAAAAATAATTTTCAGGCTCTTTCTTCAGAGGTTACTGAATCAAATATTTTGGCTGTTTGTAGTACACAAATAGCATCAAAAAGCTTTCAGTTTCAGATGAACAGTTTTGTGAACCTTTCTGTGGAATACTGATTATTTCATTGTCTAATCTAGAGAGCTGAGGTTCTAAAATCATGGGGCAATAGTTTGGTATTTTACATCTTAAAAAGATAGCTTATTCAAACAGGTGGTTAGATTCACTATAAATTAAGTAAAATTTCATTTGATAGATCTACGTTTTCAAAACCTATGTGTTGTTTTGTATGTGGTTATGCATAAGCCTAATAAAATGGACTGTTCCATTGTGTAACTTATTTTTCCAGGCCTACTCAGGAGGTCAGAATATTACTAGCTAGGAGGCCCCTTTCCAGAGGCTATGTTTTTCTTTGTTTGTTTTGTTTTTTGGGTTTTTTTTAACATCTTTATTGGAGTACAATTGCTTTACAATGGTGTGTTAGTTTCTGCTTTATAACAAAGTGAATCAACTATACATATACATATATCCCCATATCTCCTCCCTCTTGCATCTCCCTCCCATCCTTCCTATCCCACCCCTCTAGATGGTCACAAAGCACCGAGCTGATCTCCCTATGCTATGCAGCTGCTTCCCACTAGCTATCTATTTTACATTTGGTAGTGTATATATGTCCATGCCACTCTCTCACTTCATCTCAGCTTACCCTTCCCCCTCCCCATGTCCTCAAGTCCATTCTCTATGTCTGCGTCTTTATTCCTGTCCTGACCCTAGGTTCTTCAGAACCATTTTTTTTTTAATCCCATATATACGTGTTAGCATACAGTATTTGTTTTTCTCTTTCTGACTTACTTTACTCTGCATGACAGACGCTAGGTCCATCCACCTCACTACAAATAACTCAATTTCATTTCTTTTTATAGCCAATATTCAGAGGCCATGTTTTGATTTGGGATATGGAAACGAAGTTGCTCAGAGAGGTCAGGTAAATTTTGCTCTGAGGGAAATCATTACTCTACCAAAAAGAATCACAGCTTAACAAAAGATTTCATACTTTGAACTGAAGGGTGAGGAAACATAGAAATAAGAAAATAGGTAGTGAGGTTGGTGGCTGAAACAATTCAGAGAAGGATAATCAAGTGCCAGCTCAAATCTGGTTATCTGGAATCTCAACTTGGAATAGACAAATGTATGCTCCGTGTAATTCAGGAGTTTCTTTATCCTTCATCCTCAGTTTTAAAAGAAGAGCACTGGTTCCGGGTCAGAACATTCCTGAAACCACTAGTGATTCTGCAGGCGACTGAGGAAGAGTTCAGCCTCTGGAACAAAACAGTTTCTAGGCAGTCCTTACTGCCCTTTTCAGGCCTTTATACACACAGCCAAATCCCTCATCAGCCTTCATGTTTCCAACAAGGACAATCCTCATTTTTTAATCCAAGGAGGCACATACTTCAAAGTAAGACAATAATAAACACTACTGAGCTATATGAAAGGATTATTAAGTATAAATCCAAAGGTTTGAAGTTGGTTTGGATGCCCAGCTAGATGCTTCATTATAGCTACATAGACATGAGTATGGCAAACAGCTGAAATTTGCTGAGGATCATATCAGGTTCCACAAGATCATGCTTGCAAGAACTACCAGAATATCCAACAAAACCACTAGAAACTAAGACTTGCTCAAGGCTATTCCCTGGTAACGGGCAGCCAGGCAATGAGCTAAATGATACCTGACCACCTGCCAATACTGGGTTGAAGTCCTGATTTTTCCGCTGTATAAATTACCAGCTCTGAATAGAAGTAGGGGATATGGTACGTTGGCATCCTGACAGAGCCTGTTCAACTACTACTACTTTTCTGTGCAGACCACCTCCCACAACTGGTAACCATGTATATGGACACACATGCCTTCAGAAATGTAAGTGGATGCTTGGAAAAGAAAGAAAATGCAACTGCAACATTGAAAACCCATGCACTGTCTATTTGCATATATCTTATTTCTTCTCTCTTAAATTCTCATAGTACAGTAGCGTTTGCTTTTCTTAAGCTTAAACTTGACACAACTATTATAGATTTACTCATTCTCCCTCCCTTTCCCTCCCCAAAATAACAGACAATTGTGACTGGTCAAACTCACTTTCTAAGTTCCACTATCCCAGGCCTTTGGCACTGTTGATACTTCATGCAATGGGAGCACTGTTGGACTTAAGAGTTTCGAAGGGCCTTCATATACACCTTATGAGTGGTGCCAGGAGTTTCTCAGGCCCCTTTGGGAACCTGGGAAGGGAAAATTGGGAGGGTACAAGACCAGGAGTCCTAGACTCCCTGCCCCACTTTGAGGAAGTTTTTATTTATTTTATGTATGAGGCTTTGTCATAAATTTCTGTTAGCACAAAAAGTTCAACTGATTTTCAAGGTTTTAAAAATGGCTGCTGTGGTGGAAAGAGGTCCGTAAGGGGAGTCAGACTTGGTTTGAAGGGCAGGACCAGTCACCTCTGAGGCAGGAGGGAAAATACCTCTCCTCCCTGACAATTGTGGAAGCACCTACCTCACAGGGACACTGTGATTTCTAAACCACTATGAGCATTGGAGGCACACAGACTGAGTCCAAGTTCTGTCCTCCGAGCCCTTCAGGCCAGAAATCCCACCTCCGCCTCCATGACCCCAGCCCAACCTACCCTACCCCCCAGCCACACCCCCAACCCCACCTGGAAGTGGACCCAGTAAACCAAGGCATCTATTCCGCAGCCAGGACACTGACCCACTGGCCACAGAGTCCATTCCACTGGCCAAGTTATGGATCCGTCCCACCCCACCCTATAGTCTGACCCCGAAGGCCTAGACTTCGACTCTGCTGGCCAAGACTACTTTTCCTCTGGCCATGAGTTCGACTATCTCTACCAAGAATTGGACGTGGACTCTCTTCATGAAGAAATTCTTTCTCAGTCTATGCCAGGCGCCATGATAGAGACCTCTGTGGCCACGTATGAATCCCACCAGACTGCCGAACCAGAGGATCTCACAGAGGCGGAGAAAAAGGAGCTCAAATCTGAGCTTGTTAAATTGGAGGCAGAAATTGTAACCCTACACTGTGCGCTGGCAGCCAAAGAGAGATGCTGCGTGGAGCTCAAGAGGAAGTTTTACCTGACGGCCTTGGTGGGGCTGAGGCAGAATCTGTCCAAGAGCTGGCACGATGCTCAGGTCTCCAAAGCCTACATGAAACAAAAGACGTCAGCTGCCCTGTCCACCATGGGCTCTGCCATCTGCAGGAAGCTTGGAGACATGAAGAAATCAGCCACATTCAGATCCTTTGAAGGTCTTATGGGGACAATCAAGTCCAGAGTCGCAGGTAGCAGACAGCTAGGCAGTGACTGCCTTCCTTCTTCAGCGGGGAGTGGGGATGATCCACTCCCAGTTTCCGGTAGTAGGGATGATCCGCTCCTGGTTTCAGGGAGTGGGAGTGATCCAGTTCCGGGAAGTAGGGATGACCTACTCCCCTTTCTGGAGCCAGAGTGAGCTCCTTGGTAAATTTGCCTGGCCACCTGACCCGTGCAAGAACTCCCTTCCCTCATCCCATTTGCACCTCTGCCCATCAAAAACACCAACCAAACGACAATGGTAAAGTTAATTCAGGAAATGGACAGAGTCCAGTTTTGAGAAAAGTAGCTCCCATTTGTACATACATATTTGCTGCTGTTGAGATAAAGAATCCAACGTTTTGTACACTAAGTTATTTTACACTAAAGTTTATATGTGAAATGTATCACTATACTAGCCTTCCTGGGGTTGCATTTAAATGGACAGGACAATGGTTCCAGAGGGATTTTAGGCCAAAGCCAAAACTCCTTTTTTGGAAAAACCAGTGCATCAGAAGGCCAAAGTAGGTTTCTGTTTAGAACTGGTAAAAGGTATGAAATAATCTGCAATTTTATCCTCTCCCCATTTCCTTCCTTCCTTCCCTAAATCCTAGAAAGAAGCTTGAAAGCTCTACCTGGCCTACGATTTTTATCTTAAAAAGATGATCAAGAAAAATGTTGTTTTTCTCTGAGACCCTCAGAAAGGGGGGAAAATATTAATAGACTAACTGGTACATAATACTATGACTTTTATGAAATGATTTTTTTAACTCCTAATTAAGCAAAATAACTTTAGCTTCAATTTAGGAGACTACTTTGGACTCAAGCTGAAATTGCAACTTTATTTTGCCCTGTGCTTTGTTTGTAATCTTTTTATATATCAAAATAAGTGTTTTATAATTGAATCCTTGTGGCCATGTGTCTCTGCCACAGCAGCATGCTACCTAAAAGAAAGAAAATTGCTTCTCTGTTCTGTGGCAATTCTTAGTTAGTTATCACCTTCAGCTGGGGGACTGAAGGGAACATAGCATAGCCAAATTCAAGAAAGATAAACCCCTGTCTTAAATGACATTTAAAACAGAATGTCTATCCCCTGCAATTCTGGCCAAGTATGCCTTTGAACGGACCTAACTGATTGTACATCACTGGTCACCTTGACTCCAAGTTTATCCTTGTTTATAGCTAACCCCAACGGAGAAGGAAACAGAACCCAACCCTCAGGGGATATCAAGATAGTAGGAGCCTATAGGAACAGGAACCTGATTTGGGTTTGTTTGAACTTTCTCATATCTGATTTTCACAGGAGCTATGTTTTGGAGTTTTTGGTTTTTTGTTTTTTTCTATTTTCAACATGCCAGGACCTGGCAGCTTCTTTCATTCCTCCAGTAACAATGCAGGTTAAAAGTTTGTGTCTTATATTGGCTTTTAGCAGGGGGACTAGAATCTTTATTTTCTTGGGTATATATATTGATAATGTCTCACTGTCTAAAGGTAGTCCCTACAGCCTAAGAAAGTGATCCTGTTTTGTTGATTTTTGAACGCTCCCCCTATATTCCTTTGGTTTTCCTACAAGCAAAACCAAATACCACTATAAATGCAAAAGCACTTGGTAAACTATAAAGTCATTGATGTAAAGTCCACATATTTCTGAGGACAACATTTTGCTTGGATTACAATAAAATGTTCAACTATTTTACATGTTGTGTTTTAATTTGTTGTAGTTTTATGTGCTGAAGAACTAGAGAGAAACTTGCAGCATTCATGAAGCCAAAGTAGCCCAACAGGCAAAGGCTTTGACCCCATATTGCAGAAAGCCTTGTGTTAGAGAAAATCTCCAGCTGACATGATGAGACAAACCCAGAATATGTTCTATTTTATGTAGTAATTCAAACAAATACTGTAACAGTTTCCCCCAATAAATCCTCAACCCCCTGAGAGCAGTGAAGAACACAACTATTTTTGTTTATCATTGTAATCCCATGCCTGGCTTACGGTAGATGTTCAATAAACACTTGTTGAATTAATGAAGGAATCAGTATCACATACTTCAGACATCAAACCTTGAATCCAAGAGATTATCAACAATATGAACTTGTTGACAAGTTTCTCCTGCTTTTAAAGCATTTCACTTCCCCATTCAGATAATTTGAGATCCTACTATGCGTCAGGCACTGTGCCAGGCTCTGAAACCACAGAAATCAATTAGACATGGCCCATGCTCTCTAGAAACAGATTTTCAAATCATTACAACTCATTGCAGTAGGTGCTAAAATAGAAGACATCTGTAAAGAACGGGTGTTCAACTCTGTCTTGGTAGTCAGAAAAGAATTCAGAGAGGCATAAAGTCTTAGAGGACTAGTAGGAATTTGCCAGACATACAAGAGTAGAACATTCCAGACAATATACAGAGGAACTAAGTCATGAAGGAATGTAATAGAATGGCATGTTCCAGGAAATACCAATAAGTCATTGTGGCTAGAGAGAGAGGGGAAGTGGTGAGAGACGAGGATGGAGAAATAAGCAGGGGCAAGACCATAAATAGTCTACTTTATATGCTATCTGACATTAGTATTTAATCCTGTAGGAAATGAGGAGGCTTTGAAGGTACTTAAATCAAATTCATGTTTTAGATGTATCACTCTAGTCACCATAGAAGTAGATTGAGAAGTATTGAAGAGATAGAATCTCCAAAACTTAGAAAGCAACTGCACAGGAGAGTGGGAAGGACAGATTTGCAAGTTGATAAAGACGTAGAATTGAAAAGACTTGATACTGACAATGCTGGAGCTGCACATTCATTTTGCTTTGGCTCTTCTATTGGATTCCAGCATACCTGCATCAACAGCCATGGATACCAAATAAAATGCCTTCATGAGCATGTGGACTTTGGGTCAAAGGTTCCCTCCAGATTTTCTTTCTTCCACTTGCTTCTACCCTTCACATGCATTGCTGACCCTCATTCCCTAGCCTGTTCACCTTTATAATTTGATCACTTCTGCTCATCTAGTCCTATTTGGATTTTGTAGCCTAGCCTCAGTCTATTTTATTTTAACTAGGCCACTTCAGGATGCAATTTCCAATAGTTCTCAGAATATGTGAACCCTCAAAAATGCCCCACCTGGCTCAACCCCTGAGAACCACTGGTTGGGAGTGATGTTGGAACAAAATTTCCTGAGGCTCTCAGCTTTCTTGGTCTTCCATTGCTCATATGAGTGAAGGGGCTGGAGTGGACGGTAGAGACAAGGTTGAAAGTTCCAACTCCCACAGATGACACTCTCCACGCAGCTGGCAAGGATGGGAGTAGAGTACCAAGCCCTTGTTCGTTAGCATCATACATACCCCAGCATACTGCAAGCATCACTCCCAGGGAAATTCACCTGCACTTTTGGAAACTACTTTATTCTAAACTTCAGATTTGAGAGAAAATATATCACATACCTACTCTCATGAGTTGCATGGACTTCAGAGAGCTGAGCAGTGATCCAAAACTGTGTAGGTCTTCTGATAGTGCTAGGCAATGTGCTTGATGGCCCTACCCATCAAGGGCACAATGATGCCATTTGTTGCTTCTGCTAAGGAATGAGGTCAGTTGCACCTGGGCCATGGAATGTCAGTTCTTGTCCATGAATTCCAATGTAAGAAAAATTGATGAGTGCCCCTCTATCAAAATTACTGGGGCTGCAGTTACCATCTGAGACCATGTCCCACTCCTTCTGACCAGATCTATTGATAGGAGGCTTGATGATGCCACGACTTCCAGTGCCTAGAGCCTCATTCACATAAGGCAAGTGAAAAGTGGAAGAATGCCTTCAAGATGATGCACCTTGGCCAGCTACTATGAGATATTATCATGGCACTTGGTCATCTCTCAGAAATTACTAAGCAGGTCCCTAAAACAGTCAGAAATGTCTCACAAATTCCTGAGAGTTCACCAGGTAATTTAAAAGTTCCTTCCCTGTTTATCTATACTATCACCCAAATAAATGACCACCTCAAGAAGAGAAGTGGGTTCTTCTGGAAGCTGAAGGTTTTAGTCACCTCTACCCCAATCCTGGCTACCTTGCCTCAGACCCATGGCATTAAAACTTGCAGTTAATTGGAGAAAAAAATGTTACCTAAGTTAGAGGAATAATTCATAGACTTGGCTAAGCCAAACTTTCTTTCTAGAACATTATAACTAAGAGATTAAAAGTCTCAGTTGGGTTGAAATTGGTCTCTACAGTCATATAGATATAGATTTTTCATGTTTTAACTTCATGCTATGGCTTCAAATATCCTAATATTGACTTAGAAACTTGTATTGTAACCGAGGCCACCCACACTTCCAACCAACTGGCTACAAACCTTCAGGGTTCTTACTACTCCTTCAGACACCATAATTCACTGAATGACTCACAGAACTCAGGAAAGCCCTGTACTTATGATTATAGTTTTATTATAAAGGATACAAATCAAGATTGACCAAATAAAGAAGCACAAAGAATGAGATCTCAGAGGAAACCTGAAACTTCCATGTCCTCAGGATGCATCATCCTGCCAGCACATCAATGTATGATTACCAAACTAGCAAGCTCAGGTGTCCAGCTTCAGGTGTCCAGAGTTTTTATTGGGGTTTCATTACATAGGTATGATTGATTGAATTATTGGCCAAATGATTGAACTCAGTCTCCAGCTGCCTTCTCTCTCCAGAGTTTGGGAGGTCAGGTTAATATAAAGTGACTCAAATCCCCAAACCTTAATCACATGGTTGGGGCTTTCCAGCACTGCCAGCCCCCATCCTGAAACTATCCAGGGACCTACCATGAATAACAAAGACACTCTTATCACTCAGGGAATTCCAAGGATTTAGAGTCTCCTTACAAGGAATCAGGGACAAAGACCACCCAATTTTTTTATTATACAGAAAAGCAAGCAACAGGAAGCTGCCCTACAAAATGGTCCCTCAATCTCCACAAACACAAGCAAAAGGCACTATGCCTCCATGCCAGCCTGTAAACACTTCTTACAATTTGGCTTGTCAGTGTTCCTTATCACCACAAAAATCTCATATAATAATTCACAGCATTGCTTCATTACCCAACATATACCATTCCATAACTCTTATAGCTTCCAGACTGTTATTTACCCCAAAATTCCTGATTATTAGTAACACCCTAGTGG